GCCTGTTTCTGTAAAGAGTTTATATTCCTAATCACAGATTAAATCTAAATTAATCAATCAGAAGTGGAGGAAAGACGTGTAGAACTTAATTTATACAACATCAACAGATGATCTTATCAAGATGTGGGAGCTTGTTTTCTGTAGAAACTATTTCCAAATCACAATTAAACAAATCGGGCACTTAACCAGAAATAAGGACCGCCATGTTGACATTGGGAGTGGTGGAGCAGAGGCTAGAGAAGGTGGGCTTGTCATTGGAAGGTCGATGGTTCAACTCCCTGGACTGACAACATCAAAATGTGGGTGAGAAAGGTGAAACATCCACACCTGCCTCCACCCTTCGCACCACCCTGGGCCCTTGAACAAGGCTCTTAACCCCCACCTGCTCCCCCGGGCGCCCTAGACAGCAGCTCTCTGCTCCACACAGAGAGCTGTGGTAGCTCGGTGTCTGTGGTTGCGTCAGGAAGAACATCCAGTGTAAAAATAATCACCAAATCTTCATACGACTTAGTTCTCTTTGGCGACCCCTGAAGAAGGAGCAGCCGAAAGAAGAAATGAATAAAAAAGACTCATGTTGGCGACTGGCTCAAGCTGAAAATGTTATTTCGAAGATCATTTATCACCAACTTTTTACTGTTATAGAAGAAAATGCAGCTAGCAGCTAGCTAGCAGCTAGCTAGCAGCTAGCTAGGTCTCTCGTTATAAAGTGGGCGTTCTCTCATTTCAGTCGAGTGAGGAAGAACTCTTTGACTCTACCTTATAAACTAACACACTGGATTGTATTTGCTATTTAAAGTCTAGTAGAAGCTCTGAGGGGTTAGCCTGAGTGACATGTTCTGAGAGGGTCAGAGCCTTCAGCTTGATTAACAATATGAACTGAGCCTTCTCATGGGACAGGAGCTTATTGAAATCAGTCAGTAATCTGGTACATTCAGAACCAGGACTTCAACCAGAATTAAATTTGTTCTCACATCCTGCTCATGTGAGCTCGGTCAGCAGCGTTTACTGGAACCTGGACCGTATGAAGCTACGCACCTCGTTAGCTCCAAGTTCCTCATGTTTCAGCTGACACGTTCCACTGCTTCACCCTGATGGACGGCAGAGAATGAACAAACGAGCACGGCTTCAAGTTTCTTGTTAATATTTAACTTTTGTTTATTCCATGTTAGTTGACCTTTCATTGGACAGAAGCTCTGATGCATTTTATTTAGTAACACATTTACATCCTGCCATAATATCAAGCAAACCGCTGCCCAAAGACAAATAACTAACTAATATGAAATCCAAGGTGGAAAGTAATGAATTACATTTACTCCATTACTGGGTTGAAATAGGGCCGAGATGGTGTAGAGGCAGGGCAGCCGGCTTGGGACCCAAAAGCCCCAGGTTCGATCCCCAGTCACTGCACATCACGTGGTGTCTCTGGGCAGCACTCTCATCCCCAAAATGTCCCCCGGGCGCTTTCAATAGCTGCCCACTGCACCACCTGGTCATGGATGGGTTAAATGCAGAGACTAATTTCGCCATTGTATGGAAACATACAGTGCTGACATTGTGATGACATTATTATTATTATTAAATAGTATTATTGTGTATTTGAATATTTTTATTTAGTAAAAAAAAAAAGCTAGCTTTACTTGAGTATGTTTTGTACATCGTTTCAGTTGAAACGGAGTAAAATTATGTAAAATATTGATAAAGTCAAACCACGGGGGAGAAACTTCACGCACCATAAATGTTTGCAGTGAGTGTGGGAACATCTTCAGAGTCAGCAGATGTGGCTCGGCGAAGCACGAACACAAAGGTCAGCAGTTTAGCTTCTTGCTCCTCCAAACAGAAAGAGTTCTGCACAAGTACATTTTAGCCACACAAGAGTCCATAAATTGATGTTTTTTAATGTAGCAACCCTCCTTATGTGTTTTTGCTTTTGTTTAACTTTTGTATATTGAAAATGGTGACATTTTTAAAATGATCACACAGATAGTCTGAATAAGCTAGTTAGCTTTCTTTCGGCTGCTCTCTTCAGACGTTGCCACAGCGAGTGAACGCACGACGAAGATTTGTTTTACGCTGGATGCCCTTTCTGACGCAACCTGTGCTCGAACCCGCAACCTCAAGGTTACATGAGCGCAGCACTGACCGCTGAGCTACCGCAGCCGAAAACAGACATTCTCATTCACCAGACTGACCGACCTCCGCCTCAGAGCGGCTCTATTCCACTCAAAGGGATTAGATTCTGAAGATTTCAGTCCACTTTCAGAATACTTGAGTATTTCATGCATTGTTAATAATCTGTTGGAAAATGTTCTTTCTCCAAAGGGGTGGGGGCTAGAGCTGTCATTTCTGACCCGGGCCAAAGTAATGTGCTGGATGGGCGGACTGGGTCGGTGACGGGCTTTTGATTGCATCCGCGGCCGCGCGTGGATGACGAGCCAATTTGGATCAGCAGCCATGCGTGGCCGTCTGACCGCTCGCTGACCAGACGGTTGAAAGAAGTTAAAAAGTCCAGACGGCTCACGGTCAGCGCCCCACCTGACGCTCAACTGGACTGGACCCAGCCGCCACGTCAGAGGACGCACGCGGCCATGCCTGGCCGGTTGAAAGATGATCGTTTAAGAACTACAATAACTATACTATTATAATAACTATAATAGAATCATAAATATACTATTATAACTATAATAGAATCATAAATATACTATTATAACTATAATATAATCATAAATATACTATTATAATAACTGTACTATTATAATAACTATAATATAATCATAAATATAATATAATAATA